ATATGCATATTACATGCTATAAACATCACTTTATCCTTGTCTTAAATATTAAACAAGAACGCTAAGCGCTGTGAGCGCAAAATGCACTCGTATAAATTCAATTCTTAGAGTTAATAATTTGATACTTTTTTATTAAAAAATTAAATTTTATTCATTACTCATTTCAATATATCATAATCTCATTATTCTTAATTGCGTTCCTTAATTGCAGTTAAGATTAAATAATCAATCATTCATATAAACGTATATTCATATAAATAATAATCGAATAATTAGATTTTTAATTATTTTAAATTTTTTTAATTATTTTAATTGGATAGATACACATACATACTTTACTTACACAGAAAAAAATACTGTACATGCAATTAAAATAGTTAGCAATAAGATACCGTGTCAACTCTCGCGAACGAGCATCGAGAAAACATTTTTTCAACGCTGAGAAGTGCAAACGTGTGATACTGAAAATCGTAAGGAAAGAGATGACTGTCATGTCGCTGCTTGCGGTATTATCATTTTACTGATTCTTCGATATAGAGAGAGAGAGAGAGAGAGAGAGAGAGAGAGAGAGAGAGAGAGAGAGAGAGACTAGGATCATGAATACTAAAGAACGGCGACAAGAACGATTGCGATCTATTTTCCGCGCTGTTGCGCCGAAAGCGAGTCGCTAAGTTGCGCACGAAAACCGTAACAAAAATAATCTCAGTGTGCAATAAGGAGAATATTTACCATACGAGACAGACATTCGAACAACATTCTTGCACGCTCATTGGACAACATATTTTTCTCAATCTTGATTGAAGTTTGTGCAAGAAGCGCAAAAACTAGACTTTCTAGGAAAAAAAACTGACATTTTAAAGTAGTTATATATTAATCAACTGTCATACGTATAAACTGTCATCTGTGGAAATTCAAATATTTTATTATTTAACTTTAGTATAATGATACTTTTTTATTAAAAAATTAAATTTTGTTCATTACTCATTTCAATATATCATAATCTCATTATTCTTAATTGTGTTCCTTAATTACAGTTAAAATTAAATAATCAATCATTCATATAAACGTATATTCATATAAATAAAGAAATTCAGTAGATATAAAAAAAATATATCTATTCGTCTTCTATTAGAGTAATTACATTTAAACAGAAAAAAACCACTATTAAAAAATAATACCTACACTAATGGACATGCATTTAATGAAGATAATTAATACTGTAATGAAGATAAAAAATTTATTCGAAATTTTTTATTTTCTATGCCAGTTAATTTTTTGCTTATTTAAAATTTAATTAATTAATATGATCAATTATATTCTATTTAAGCTTTTACAGCCAATAAGAGAGTAAATGATTTGCTCACTTTATTTTTATTGAATAATTTAATAGAGAAGAAATATGCTACTATAAATGTCTTATTTAATTTTATTTATATCAATATAAATAAAATCATGTCACGACAAAGATATTTCGTAACATCTTTCTGTTCTGCATAAAGTTATTTCCAAGCTAGGTTATACAAATATTCCTTTCGGGCTTTATACTTTTGAAACAATATAATTAACATAAATTCAATTCGTATTCGCGTTTGCTTGTTTAATATACTACATATACGGGAAGTTTATCCACAACAGGAAGTAATTTCCTTTATTAATGGCTGCATTCAAAGTGGTTCTCATAAAGGAACTAATTATAGACATCATTAAGCTGATTTAGTGCTGATAAAATTTCTCCCCGTTTATTCCGGCTTGGCGTCAATATGAAAATTCTTTAGGAACGCACAAGACCGGTGCTCTTAGGTCGCGGCGTCAAGTTCAACTGAGCGACTAATTATTATCGGGAGACGAATTCGGCACGTGCTCGTACTTGCTTGCGTGAGATCAAAAATACGCTGCCGGCGTATTTTTCTTCCTTCCGGGACATTCTTTACATTTCTATTTGTAGATAGAAGAAGGAAAAGTATACTGGCAGTTTCGCCGCGTAACTCATTTCTCCGCAAACGCCATACCCTCTCGAGCACGCCGCAAACATGTTTAACGACCATATCGATTGAAATATCGCGAGTATTCCACCGTGCGAAAGAGGGAAAACGGTGAGATCAGAAATGTTTTATCGTACGAGGACTATAGCCGCATGTATATATATATATATATATATATATATATATATAAAAAAAAGAAAATAAATCTATAAGCTTTATATATTTAACACAGTTAAAACACGTGCAATTTTCCAGACAGCACGTTACCGCGGTTGTGGTTAAATAAATATTTATCCGTCCTGTATTATAAATATAATATTCATGGACGTGAGGAAGAGATGGAAACTGACTTGCGGAAGTAATCTTGTTGAATATGCATCAACTATCCCGTTCCCTCCCCTATACATCTTATAATGTGATCATTCGTAATTCATAATTCACGAGAAATCTCATGTACAAACAGAAATGTTAGTGTCAAATAGGAAAAAAAAAGTTACGTCAATGGGACGTTTGACACGACGACATTGAAAAGTAACTAATTTTTAATTAAAATTTCGAGTACTATCGATCTATCTCGATTTATGCGAGAATATAAAATTAAAGAGAAAAAAAAGGAGGAAAATTTACATAAATTATTTGTATGTATATTTATTTTAACGCGATGCACGTGATATATTGTCATTCAAGTGTGAATGCGTAAACGCATTTGCTTTTCAGAAAAGTTATTTTTCCAAGTTTGATAACGACTCTTATCGTCGAGTATAACTTTACGTGCAACCGGAAAGGTTCGTTTACACCGTTGCAATTTTGGGGTCATGCAAATAATGTGCCGTGGAGTCATGCACCGGTGTGCAAATCTCAACTATTTATGCCAAACATGCAGATTGACTTCCACGAATGCGTTCTGACCTCCTATTAGGAAATTACCATGATTCGTCACAAAAATATATTACTCTCCAAACAACAGGAACGAGCGTTTTTCGCTTGAAAAATTCTTTCTTGTGGCTTCTCATCGACGAAGTCCGTTGCATCAAGACATTTGTCAGCTTCGCTAGTAAAAAGCGAAAGTTATATGAGATGCAATAAAATCCGCGCTCGCGTTCACCGCAAAATTAATCTGTAAAAACGCCGGACGCGTAAGCGTGTATTCACCCGGAAGATATTAAGTCAGGAAAGAAACCATTTATATTTTATATTTGGCCATTATGTTCGTGAGTCCGATTTACATGGATGTAATTATGCGCGATCGACAAAATAGGGCAGGCAAATCGTATTACGCAAGTGGCAGTCGCCGTAACACGATTTGATACACATGCGGAAATACTAATTGAATTTCTTGATTAGAATATCCCAGTTGTAATCCGTAATATCTGCGGGAAAGTAGAATTCAATTAACGCGATTCCGTTGTAAGCGACGGGCCCGCGGAACGTATTTATGTCGCATGAAATGCGTATCGCACGGTCCCGTTGAGTTAATCTGTCCAATTAATCGAATGTTAAAAATGGAAGAAAAATAAACGCAAACTCCCACCCCTTCTGTTGTTATGTTTATTGTCAATATGCTGCAGTAAAATAATACATTTTCATATATGATGAAACAACATTATTGAAGCCCCTGTATTATTGTACCTATACGCTACGCGGGCATACAAATTATGCCAGTTGCGTGACCGTTTCAAACGAACGTCGCCGATAATACGGTGACATTCGCAAACCTCGACCGACCACGCAAACGCAGGGACCTCCGTTACGATGGGAACGTCTGTTTCCATTGCACTCGTGAAAACGTAAATTAACAATTCATTTGCCCGGCACAGAGTTGCGAAAGTATCGCGATAAGGTGCTTTATTTAAATGTTAAAGCATATTTTTAAGAACTTCAGCGTTCATAGTGTTCTAGCAAAAGATACAAATATGCAAATAAACTGATACAATACTCAAGACGTGAAATTCAAAATTAAAAATGTCAGTCGGATAAGATTTTATACTAATATAAAATATCAAGATTGGCGTTTACAATATTTCTTGTATTATATTATTATATACACACAAATATATATTTATGCTTATGCACATTACATTGTGCGATTTAACAATTTCCAAAAGATCTGTTTTGGAAATGTGGAGAAACATTTATAAATAACATTAAAAACAAAGATGAATATGCACGAAGAAAATAGTTTCGTCAAAGTATGTAATGGCTAGATACAGATCAGAAAATAATTTATTCGGTGGAATCTACTCTAGAATAACTAATATCAAAATAATTATATAGGACACTCAAACTGATTGCTAGAATATCAAAACTTTTAGCAACATTGCTCGTCATATAATTTAATTATTTTGATGTCCCAACTAAATTATTTTCGGATCTGTAGCAACTGTGTAAATTTTAAAAAAATTTCAACAAAGTTGTTTTTTCTGTGCGCAATTTCATTAGCCCGCACACGACTATAATTACACTGCTCTTGGCAAAACCATTGTCAAGGCCTTAACTACTAACTTTCCAATGCCGCAGACAAGCCTTTTCGTAACAATTGATAAGATCATAATAATAACAGTCGCGGCGTCAAATTACATTCATCCGGTGATAGTCGATTAACATAACAGTCTGAGACTTCATGTATTACGTTCTAGCATCAACGCAGTAATCACCAACGGCAGGTAGCTTTTCAGCTCTTATCAGACACATAGAGCTCTTCCTAGCTTTCTTCACACTTGTCATTAACTGAACATTGATATACAGACAAAAGAAAAGGAACTCGTGCGAACGATTCGCGGGCGATGAATCAGCCACGATTTATCAGCCGACGTTGGATCTAATCGTGAAAAAATAAAAGTTAATTAGGGTCGCACAGATGCTTTCCTTCCGGCGAATGCAATTATAGACAGTGTTTCTTCCACCCGAAACCTATTTCTTCCCCATCACCGCCGGTCGCGGATGCATTTTTCTCGAACCGTAACCGATTCACGCTGTATAACGACAGGACTTTAATGACTTTTGTCGCTTTGGAATTAGGAGGATCAGCCGGTGCCGTGGTGGCGTCTAGACTGAGCGACATACCCGAATGGAAAGTTTTGTTGCTAGAAGCCGGCCCGGACGAACCATCGGGTGCTCAGGTTCCCAGTATGATGGGAATGTTTCTGGGTAAGTTTCAATTGGACCCTGCCTGCATACATAGCGCTGTTGTTCTGTTATCTATACGTTCAAACCTCGTGATAATAAGCATTTAAGGTGTAGTTTTTATTTTCATCTTTACTTTATCGTTCAACATGACATGCAAGTGAATAGGTATCAGAAATGTAAGATACAAAATGCACGAAAGCTTTTTTCGCCTTTGATTCATTTAAATTCGATTCTTTCCCTGTAGAATATATTTCCATAAAATAATCTCTTTTCATTTTCAATGTTAATTATGCTATGAAATAAAATTTCGTCTGCTTAAAATTCAATAAGAGCTAATATATTATCATTTATTAGCATCTCTGAAGCTTGATTTTAATCAGAGCGCCACGCATTTAATTCAACAATAATTTTATTAAAAGAGAATCGATGTCAAATTAGTTACGATAAAATCTGTAGGGACATTATAGTGGAAACGACATCACGTGTATCTGAGATATCGACGGGTATGGAATAATGCGAATAATCGTATCGCTTTTATTTAAAATACACGAGTGTTTCGAGCACCTCCGAGAGGAAATTGTTGCTGTGCTCATCTGGAATCTATATTATTGCGAGTGCTGTTACGATCCGTTCCGAGCTTTACGCATGTTAAAACGATCTGACAATTTTGCCGATAGGAACTGACATTGACTGGCAGTATCAAACCACGAACGAGATGAACGGTTGTCTGTTAAATGGCGGATCCTGCAGTTGGCCGCGTGGTAAAAATTTAGGTGGGACGTCCGTTCACAATGGTATGATGTATATGCGAGGCCATGCGAAAGATTTTGACAATTGGGCAGCTATGGGCAATCACGGATGGAGTTGGCGCGATGTAAGATCCCATAAACCTGTAGACTATTATTCAAGTATTTTCAATAATCTAAATACAGATGAATTGAAGTGAAAGGCAAAATTGGAGTTATTCAGAATTTCTCTCTTTTTTTTTTAATTGTAATACTTATCTCAAATGAGACATTACAGAGAATAAAAAGATACAAACTAACCATTTCATATCGACATAATTATTCAGTCATAACTTGTCGAATTAATAAAAAGTATTGTAAAGTACAAAGTCACAATGTAATTAGCATATGGTATGCTAACCATGATATTACAAGTCTCGTAGTTCTATAAAACTACATTTAGGAAGAGAAAGTTTTATCAGTGTAGTTTTTCAAATATTGATCTCCAAAAGTTCTCAACTCCAGGATATATTTGAAGAGATCGAGAAATACAATCGCAAGAAATAATGACCGATCTTGTTTAGGTATTGCCATACTTCATGTGCTCCGAGAACAACACGGAGATCCATCGAGTTGGTGGCAAGTATCATTCGACCGGTGGTCCGTTAACCATCGAACGGTTTCCGTGGAAGCCTGCAATCGCAGATGACATCCTCGCCGCGGCAGCTGAAAGAGGATACCCGATTAGCGAGGACTTGAATGGTGACCAATTTACAGGATTCACTGTGGCTCAAACCACAAGTAAGAACGGTGTCCGAGTGAGTAGCGCTTCAGCGTTCTTACGACCGGTACGGCATCGACGCAATTTGCACGTCTCTCTAAACGCCACTGTCACGAAGATTTTGATAGAAAATCACATGGCCGTCGGAGTACAATTTTATCAAGTCAGTATATGCGTTTATATTCTCTTAACTCGGCGATAATGACATCTTCCTTTATATTTCATCCTACATTAAAAATTTATTTGAATATGTTTAATTTAATTTAATAATTATTTTCTTAACTAATATTATTCTAAAATATGACGTAATATTATTAGGAATTGTGTTAAAATGTTAAAACTTCATTTAATAGAAAATCACTTCATTATTATTCATTGAATATTATTTAATGACTTAGTCTAATTTAAAGTCCAATTTAATTATGGATATCTAAGTATTCTATTTTAAGTTTTTAATATCTATAAGTAAAAGAGATGTGTGGGATGAAATTTTAATTTGTCATTTTTCATAAAAATCAAAAGTACTTATCACAAATTAATAAGATTAATAAGACCTTTCGAATTATTATAATTATAGCAATATCTAAAAATCTATTTTTAAATATCGTGATTGACAGATACAATTTTTTATGGATTCCGGAAATCCTGCTTGTTACGAAATCGCGAGCAAGAGTTTTTTATCGAAAGTTACAGCGAAAAACGCTGCAACTTTTATTAATACGGTGAATACGTTACGCTTGAAAAATCTGTATTATGCACGAGTGGGAATTTGCCGAGAGTCTTATTTTATTGTTTCAGCTTATATTAAGATACAACGCTCTAGTAATCATGCGCAGAAGTCGCACAATGCAAAGTCATTTTCACGGATATTAAAAACTTTTGTTTTTATGTCGTTCGCTGAAGTTAAGTTTTTCGTGTGTACACTAATAATTATATAATAGTTGATACCACATAATGAAGTTACTTTACATGGATATATTAAAAAGATCATTTTTATCTCACTCGCTGAAGCTACAAGTTTTTCATGCAAATCAATAATTACATAATAACTGATAGCTTATGCGCAGATTTCGCTTAATAAAGTCACTTTCACGGATATTAAGAGGATAATTTTTATCTTGCTTGCTGCATTTACAAGTTTTTCATGTAAAAATCAATAATCAATATGTTTTACTATATTTAACTCGGACACGTTTAGATATTCGAGAATAAATTCTAAAAGGTCCATCTAATGTGAGCTTGATTTAGTACTTTCATTAATTAATAGTTATACGACACGTTAAATTCCGCAAAATGTACACAACAAAATGTTGAAACTAGACTAGGGGCATAATATGACAATATCACGCGGCATCGGGGAACTTTGCTTTTTGCCGGAGCACTTTCGGCACTTAAACGCGAAATCAAGTTCGTGCTCTAAAGCGCGTCGGTGAGTTTGGTGATGTGAGTTTCAATGAACGCATCTTCAGGATGGTGAACTTCGAGTTGCCCGCGCCACAAAGGAGGTAATCGCCTCCAGTGGTGCCGTAAATTCGCCTCAACTGTTGCTACTCTCCGGAATCGGGCCGAAGGAACATCTGCAGGCGATGAACGTCATAGTCGTCAAGGATCTTCCAGGTAAGCGATCCATTCATCGTACGTAAGTCATTATGAGTACGATGATGTACCTCTCAGAGAAGATAATAATCCTCCGATAGAATTTAGCGTAATTCATCGATGACGCACGAAAGTTTATTATTCGATTCGATAATTAGCATTATGACGATAGCATCAAGTCTTTCGCTAGGTATAAATTTGACAAAGAGTTAAACAGAAGACTCGTGCCATTGAAAGAAAACTAATTAGGCATTGAAGAAAATTAGTTCTTAGATACTTCAGAGCATCTTATTTAAAGTACGACCGAGATTAATTCCCGCGGATATAGGTTCCAACGTCTACGTTAATTACGAAAAGCGCAAAGTTTTCGTTCTTATTGAACATAAATGATGAAAACGAGCGTCAAGTTGGCGTTCGATCGGATCACCGGCCGGAATTACGTCAAAGTCGATAATTGCGTTTTTAAACGACTGAACCATTTTGCTCCAGGTGTCGGGGAGAACCTGCATAATCACGTATCGTACACTTTATCATGGACCATCAATCAAACGAATACGTTCGACCTGAACTGGTTGACTGCTGTAGAATATCTCGCTTTCCAAAAAGGACCGATGTCGTCGACTGGTTTATCGCAATTGACCGGGATTTTATCATCGACCTCCACGACTAACAATCATCCTGATATTCAACTCTTTTTCGGTGGCTATCAGGCAGCCTGTGCAATGACCTGTGATGCAAGTGCCACTGTGGACAGTAATATTGGTCGCAGAATCAGCATATCGCCGACAGTGACACAGCCGCGTAGTAAGGGTAAGTGAACGTAATTAGCCTGAAGTATCGAACTCCCGCCCGCAAAAATTGACTAATTAGATGGTAATTTCAATCAATTTATCATCGATCACCGACCACCATGAATTCCGTCCGTAATTTAACGCGGGAATGATAGGACCGGCTCGTCCGCGACCGTGGTTATCATCGGGAAAATTTCTACAAATTGATTAATCAATGCTTCTACATTGCGTCTCGGTGATCCGTGAAATTCCGGTGAATTTCGACAGTCAATGTATCGCACGTCAATGTAGCGTACCGTTCTGTCACCGATTAACCACCGCCAATAAACGAACTTGACCACAGGGAGACTACGTCTCGCCAGTAACAACCCCCTCGAGAAACCAGTCATTTGGGGCAACTATCTGAGCGATCCTATGGATGTGAAGAACCTCGTGGAAGGTATCGAGATTGCGTTGTCTCTCGTCAATACCAGTGCTATGGCCAAGTATAATATGGTTTTGAGTAACCAATCGTTGCCTAAATGCTCCCAGTATCCTTATCTGAGTCAACAATATTGGGCCTGCGCCGTGCAGCAAGATACCGGCCCGGAAAACCATCAAGCGGGTTCCTGCAAGATGGGTCCACTTAATGATCCCATGGCCGTAGTCGACAATCGATTGAAGGTACATGGCATCAGGAACCTTCGGGTGGCCGACACGTCCATTATGCCACAGGTAGGTATTTTCTGTAATCGCGGGAATATCGCGAGTGTTGATGTATTTTCCCTTCTTTTTTGTGCTTTTACTGCACACCGCACTTAATGAACATCGAATGGACGATCATTAGCGAAGATCGCGAGATACTCGAATTTTTTCGTTGCGAAGATTCTTTTTTAAGATTAACGTGCTATTATCGTTCGAATGTACGTTCGTCATTAAGTTTTTAATCATTCGTTGAGAGTCTTCATTACGTAAAACCTATTTTAGAGACTCTATAATTTATGTTAGAATTTAAGACAGTATTTTATTTCATAATTTAATGCACTGTGTAATACGAGAGAATTGAAGAATTTAAATACGTATATGTATAAATCATATATACGTACATTAAAATATACATAAACATTATAAATAAATATGTACACTAGATTATTCTAAAATCTCATATGAATTATAAATCATTTAAAGTTAAATTAACGTATTTATAAGCTTTCCGCTTATGTCCGTCATTCATTTTTAGCTCTAATTTAATCTTTTAGTATATAATGTCTTCGAAATCTTGTTTTATATATTTATAAAATTCCGTGAAGGCTTATTTTAAAATATTTTTACGATCTAATTGACGTGAAAATGAAAGGAAGAGGTATAGAATGATTTTTTTTCAAGGTAACGTCCAGCAACACAGCAGCCCCGGCCATGATGATCGGCGAAAGGGCTGCAGCGTTCATCAAGTCCGATTGGGGTGTTGCTAATATACAATGGTACTGGAAAGAATCTTGCCCCATAAGGAAAACCGATCAACATTGGATACATCATTAGTCACCAGCAATTTACCATGTTTCCTAGTTCACGCACGACGATCGACAATACGCTGGACCTGTTACTTTGGGGGCTCAAGTACATCGACTGGGATCAGGCTATATGGTAGCCCGGGCGTTCCACGATCTATCTAGTCGCTTATTGCATCCATCAATACGTATTCCGCAGCCTAAAAAAGTCGGCGAGAACGCGACCAAAGGCAAGGACTTTCCGGAAGATTCCCATAGGCTGCGATTTCCTTTCTCTTCGGTATGGTCGAGCGATCGAGCTGGACTTGCATCCTGCTCGATAGCTCGAGCGCTATGTCAAAACTCAAAATTATGTTGCAACGTGCAATTATTGTAGCTAACACAGTGAGTCGTACGACTGATGACAGTCGTCGTTTCGCTGTACCGCCATGTCTTAATTTCCAGTTAGGAATTTCCTAAGATTGTGTCTCATAGCATCGCAGTTAGTCGAGAGATCCGCCATCAATCAATTAGCTGCGACACAACGAGCATAAATCTTCGTATAATTTCCGAATAGTGTTACTATTATAATATTATTAATTCCTTAAACAAGCTACAATTTCCTGTTGTTTTTAGTTACTGTGTATGCATCAAAAGAAGTTTAGAATTACGAAGAAGTTTAGATATATATATTAAAATACTAATAATCTTTTCATATTACGTACATAGCTTTCAATATGTAGTTGTAATAGCATGTAATAGATACTATCATGGATGTCCTATCGAAATGATAACCAAAGACAGATTCTGGTACCTGGTACACCAATCACCAAAAAACATAGTAATTAATTGTTAACAAAAAAATATGTAAAAAAAAAACGAAATGGATTATAAATATGGATAGTTCGGTCACTCTCGAATCATCCGAGTGTAAATCAAAATATTGTAAATAAACAAGATTGCATAATAGCAGACTAAATATAGAATAACCGCTTGCTTCCAATCGATCCTATGAATTGCGTGTATGTGTCGTAAATAAATGCAATAATTACAATTAAATGCAATAATGATAAATGCGATAATCAAAGTCTTAAAAATAAAACAGTTGCTTGTTAACAGCTAAATATTTATTGAAATTAATCCGCCTGTATAAAGCAATTTGATAAAAAGTTTAAACAATCAATAAATTAACGCTTACAAAAGTTTCATGTGCAATACACAAGCTTTTATTCTAACTTCCGGAATGCAAATGGGTCCAGTGGAAACACAGGTAATAATAACTCGTATCTATTTTATTTGCGCTATTTTAGTGACAGACTATTCGTCATTTTTTCTAAAATGATAGCACGTGCGGTGATTTACAAGTGTGACAAGTAGGGGTTATAACAAGCGCCGTTATTATCGTTTTTATGTTATGTGCGTTGAGCACTTAATCACAGCTAGACATTTCACAGTATGTGCATACGTGCATATGCATATATGCGAAACGGGTATATAACAAAGCGACAACAAAACGGATGCCGCAATCAAGTAGTAAAAGCCGAGCACGACGGACAATACTCCTTGCAACGATCTTATTCACGGAAAATGGTACGTTGTTATTCTACGGATGTATCGCTTGTCAATTGTATTGGGTGTGAAGGAAAAAGACATTTTTAAAAAGTTAATAATAAAGTTAATAATAATAAAAGTAGGAATATATAAAAACAAAATTAGGTTTTAAATTTTTAAGTGTGACTCAAAATTTTGATACTATAGTAAGAATAGCAAATAATTCCTTCACTAAAATTTTTTACAATATTTTAAAAAATTGAAACAGACAACGAGTATATTCGAATAAAATAATATTTGTCTACCGTAATAAATTTCTCCAATTAGAATTTTATAGAATTCAACAAAGTTAATCGAGAGAATTATATGCAAGACTTAATATTAAATCCTCGTAGATTATTACGGTTATTCGTAATTTGATTGCGAGAGTAAAGTGATTTCACAACAGTAATGGCCGTGATATTCACAAAATAATGGAGCATCGTTCTACGGTTTATACGATGCATAAACTCGAGATCAACATTCTTAAGTGCCGCAATATATTTAGTCGTGCAAACTATACGTTATACGGTATTATAGAACATGTACTCGCTGGACTACGATGTGCCGGAAGCACCATGTTCGTCGCCCTTCCCGGTAAACGGACTCTCATTGACCGATGTCTGCAACGGCAATTCTGCCACTTTGTTTCTGTCTATGGTGAACATGTTAGCTGCCTATAGCCCAATAATTAACGGAATGTGCGAGCGAATCACGCCTATCAAGAGGCCGCAATTTATTTACGACTTCATTGTCGTTGGAGGTAAGATAATCAATTTACCCGTAAATATAATGGGCTATTAAAACCTATTTGTCTAGTAATCTAACGAAACGTTTCGTAAAATTAAGTTCAATGAACGTAAAAACTCAACATTCATCTTTAAATTGTATCATAATTAAAATCAACATTAAGATTTATAAACGATTTGATATTGAAAAGATATTAGTTCACGTTAGCTAAATTAATACCTATTCAATCTTGTGTCTTTAATTCAGGTGGTGCAGCCGGATCAGTCGTAGCCGCTAGACTGAGTGAAATTGAGAACTGGAACGTGCTTCTTGTAGAAGCTGGACCAGACGAGTTACCTGGCATGCAAATACCGAGCAACCTTCAACTCTATCTCAGTAATACATCTTAATTTCTTCAAAGTCGCTAATAATTGCTATTCATTTTAATCGTGCGATATTACAGACACCGAACTGGATTGGAATTATAAAACCACGAATGAATCGTACGCGTGCTTACGATATAATGGCAGTTGCAGCTGGCCGAGAGGTAAAAATCTCGGAGGATGCTCTTCCCATCACGGTATGGCGTATCATCGAGGCCACGCGAAAGATTATGACAGATGGGTGGAAATGGGAAACGCGGGATGGTCGTGGAAAGACGTATGAAGAAAATATTACTAATAAAATCTTCATGATATTACATAAATCATTATTAATTTTTGTACACAATATAGGTGTTGCCGTATTTCTTTAAATCAGAAAACAATAAAGAAATTGGAAGGGTCAGGGCAGAAGATCATGCTACTGGAGGTCCAATGACGGTCGAAAGGCAAATGTCAATTTTCTTAAGTCCATGACACGCAAAAAAATATTAAGATCGCAATTTGTTCCGCAGAATTTTACTCTGAAAAAAAGACACGAATGACTTCAAATTCTTTTTTATTTTAAATGACGTAAACAGTCGTGACAGCGATAAAAAGAGAATGCAAGAATTAAAGTAGTATAAAGATTATGGCTCACATAAAGAACTTAAGCAGTAAGCGAATCGGTAAAAAACAAAGTAATAACGTAAAGGAGGAAATTCAAAATGTTGATTTGCTTACTGCTCAAATTTTTTTTGTGTATCATAGCCTTTACTACTTCAATTTTCACACTCTTTGCTCCCCCCTCCCCCCCCCCCCCCCCTCTCTTTCTCTCTCTATCTATCTCGCTACACAACTGTTTACGTCATTTAAAATGAAAAACAATCTGAAGATATCCGTGTCTCTTTTTCAAAATAATAATTCTGTGAAATAAATATGTGATTGCCGTTGCGTAAAATCTTTTGATATCCGTTATATTAATTAATTATCCTTTGAAAATTAGTTTTATCATCAAAGAATATTTCAACGTATTTATCTCTATCTATCGCAATTAGCGTGGCTGATCCGGATTCATTAAACAGGATCTGTGCGCTGAGAACTAAAGCGTGTCTCTGACGTAATCCCCATAGTTTCCCCACCAATTTAATTGATCTACACGTACGAATTAAACTCGCTGATTACTTTCATTAATAGATTCCCCTGGCAGCCGCAATTCGCTTGGGACATATTGACGGCTGCAGAGGAAACAGGTTTAGGAGTCAGCGAGGACTTAGTGGGCCAGAATATCACGGGTTTTACCGTGGCACAAACAATCAGCAGAAATGGCGTCAGACTTAGTGCCGCCAGAGCTTATCTATGGCCAAACAGGAATCGCAAAAATCTGCACGTGGCTCTAAACGCGATCGTAACGAAAGTCAATACGATGAAAAGTTTATCAAAAGTAAAAACCGTGGGAATCACTTTCATTATGGTAAGTTAACATCTCATATTTCTTGAGCTACGGATGCAATTTCACAATTGCATCTTCATGAATAAACGATGATTTGTCTCGAGAGTCACATGGCTTGATGAACGACAATTTGCAGAACGGCCGGCAATACAACGTAAAAGCGAAAAAGGAAGTGATTCTTACGGCTGGCGCTATAAATTCGCCTCAGCTTTTGCTCCTATCAGGTATCGGGCCGAAGGAACATCTAGATTCCATGAAAATTCGCACGGTCGTCGAGCTGCCGGGAGTCGGTAAAAATCTTCACAACCATGCGTCATACGGCGTGGACTTCAGTCTCAATGAGACGCATATAAATGAACTAAATCTGGACAATGCCGATACATATTTATACAATCAAACTGGCCCGTTATCGTCTACGGGATTGGCCCAGGTTACCGGTATACTAGCGTCCAACTACACTACCGCTGATGATCCGGACATTCAATTCTTTTTCGCTGGCTATCAAGCCATTTGCAATACAGGTGGTAGAATTGAGGACTTGAAAATGTACGATAACAAACAAACTGTTAGGTTTATCGCCGTAAATATTCAAACATTAAGTAGAGGTAAGTCAATAAGTATGTAACTCAGCTTTTGCTCTAAATAGCGCAATATTAGCATAAAAATACTGCCAATGTAGATAGCTATGCATGGCAACATGGTGAACGAGATTATAAAATTATACTTTCAATTCTTTCTAATATCAGTATTTCTCATCAAAATTATTTTAATATAATTTTTATCTGCAATCGCATTAGAAGAAAATCGATATAATTGCATTCTAATTAGAAGTAATTATAATTAAAATAAAAAGTATCAAGAAATTAAATAAAATTAGAAAATTATTTTCTGTAAAGAATAAAAATTCTTACTGCTGCAAGACATATTTCACTGATAAATTCTAGGACGACTAATGCTGGCCTCAAAAAATCCTTTAAGTCCTCCGATCATTTGGAGCAATGATTTAGCGCATCCGCAAGATCGATCGATTATTTATCAGGGTATTCAGTATATCTTCAAGCTATCACAAGCAGAAACGATGAAAAAATACAATCTAAAGATGATAGATGCAATTATCCCAGAATGCGAACAATATAAAAAAAATGGAGAAATGAATTATGAGTATTGGGATTGCAAATTCCAATACGATACCAGGCCCGAAAATCATCAGGCCGGGACTTGCAAAATGGGTTCCTCTTCGGATTCCATGGCTGTCGTTAATCCAGCTCTCAAAGTTTATGGGATAGATGGTTTAAGAGTGGCCGATGCTTCCATTATGCCACAGGTAAGTAAACAAATCTGGACATTTTACAAATAAATATCGATTTAATAGGTCAATTAAAATATAATCATATCATAAACTTTTTTCTTATTAGCTCATGTCTAAAAACTAATTTAACTCGATAGATAATTTTTATGAAATTTATATAAAATATCCTAGAAAAAAAATTCAATTAATGTCTCTATCTCTTATAATCAATTAATTCCTTTCTATTTCTTAGATGATTTCCGGTAATCCTGTTGCCTCGATCAATATGATCGGTGAAAGAGTCGCTGATTTCATCAAGAACGATTACAAAGTGATCAACAATTAAATAAAGATTATGTAAATTGCCTTTTAATACCAAAGAATTAGATGTAGAATTAGATGTAGAATAGTTTTTATTTCCACGTTATGTTTTTTGTAAGTATAACATAACTTTTTGTGAAGTTTAATAAAAATATACATGTTTACATAAAGCTCTGTTTTTTCCTGTACCTTGTCAGTTGTTGCGTTTACGTTTAAACTGACTTTGAATAACAGTTGCAACAATAAAAATAAGATGGAAATTTACGAGATGAATGAACAGTTTTGTTTTACAGAATTTACTTTTGCTGTCATAATAACGAAGCTAAGTTGAATTATAACCACTGTGACAAGTTAATTCAAAGCATTTTATAAAATAATACATGTTGGTGTAGATCATGTAACTTGTTTATACAGCTTAAACTTGAATTATTCATGCCATAGTTATTTCTACATTAAACATTAGAATACGGAATTTCGAGTTGATCTTAACTGCCCAGAAATAAATACTACCTAAATACTTAAGTTAAATCAAATTCCATTCGATCGAGTTGCGTTCTATCCAGGTTAGTAAAACTAAATAGTAAGATTGAAAATTATAAATTTAATCGTCGACAAAATCAAAGTCATTTCGCTCATCTTCGCAGACAACTATGGCATCGCGAAAGAATACGTCCCAGCAATCTCAAAGAATCCACTTACGATATCCTACGTCTCAATTATTAAGATAGAAAGAGAATAAAATGAAGGAATACATCTTGGAGGAGGTCACGGCGGTATGGACGGGTGCCCGTTAGGATTCAGAGAAGCTGGAAACCTGGAGAGAACCGGGTACTCGACCTCCTTAGACTCGCGTGCTTATACAAGAGCGATTTCGCAACCCTTCGCTTGACCTCAGTAGCTATTCACCCATCTGAACCTTTCGAGATCAAATGCGCTTGCCTCCAGAGTGCATTAAATCCGATGAACCACTAGGAAGATCTATCTATATAATTGGGCTACTATTCAGAACAGATAATTGACCAGTTCGAGTATCGAGAAAATCTCCCTGCACCACCAAATTATGTTAAAACAATTATCTTGAAACATTCCTAAGAATTCGCCTCGAATGTATATTGTAAGAATGCCAAAAATATATTTTTACATTTGCAAGAAATTATACGAGCTCCTACTGCTCGCTAAACTAATTTAACACTTTTTAGCAGTGGCTATTTCAGCCGATTTTCTATTCCGATAATATGAATTGCCATTATTCGTATCCGTTCACTTATATTCTGTCTATTCTTTGAATTGCTGAAGACTATATTGTGCACGACTTATTGTGCTCGTTATTTATACGAGTTCTGCATGCTGTGAATTGCTATTATAAGGAGTGTCCTTGAATTTCAACACGTCGTAATGCCGAGAACGTGCTCTCGCCTTCGACAAGAGAATGTCAGATCAGGTCACTCGAACGCATCCGGAATAGCACACGTTTCCTAACTGATATAGAACACAAGATATAGTGCAAATAACAATGAGCATTCATCTAACACCTTCAAGGTGTTATTTCTTACGAAATCTTCTAAGAAAGACGAAATAATGACATTATGTTCTCTATGATATTATGTTCCGATAGAACACTACGATCACTCAAAGCTGTGTGTCGCATAAAATCCACTGGAAAATTGAATAATTAGAGCTATCGTTAACTTCCATTAAATCAATCAGTTTGCGAAGTTTGAATTGTTACTATCGATCAACGTAACGTAGCAGGATATATCGCAAAGAATTAATCCGAATCAAAGCATTTTTGAAGAGAGAGTTCGAAGTCGTAGCCAAACATGAACTAAACTCGTTTTTACAATGTATCTTATCTAAAGATCTATAATTATAATTAGCTAAAGATTAAATCTATAATGGTTATCTACACTGAAAAAAAATTAATTTCAAAGAAACTTTCATTGATCCAAAGAAATAATTTTTTTGAATACGAGCAAAAACATATTTCTTTAAAATTAAGATTTTTTTTTTTTTTTAGTGTAGGGATTCATGATGAAATTCGTTCATAAATTTTTGGTCTTTTAATCTTTAAGTACACAGTAATACAATCTTTAATAACAGTTACACTGTTTTTTCTAAATTCTTTGGAGTAGACTCTCACTTTAAAGAATGAAAATTGGACAGTCTTGAAAAAGTCTTGAAAAGAGCCTAATTTTCAATTTTTTAAATTGAGATTTCACTCTTCATATTCTGAAAGAATTAAGAATTAAGTGCAAATTATAATATTGATATTATGTTACTTTTAGTTGGTATCAACTAGGCAAATATCTTCTTAAATTTCACATCCGTCTGAATAGCGCGCAATTTTATGTAACAAATCGCACGGGATCTATGTTCCACCTATCTACATTCCATACTTGTTGTCAATGGTTGTCAGTTTCAACGTTGCGAGCGCGAAGGGAGAATATTGCCCGAACGCTATCAAAATTCTGAGACATTCGCAAGAAGTCCTCCGACTTCAACATACTTTCATCGTGCTTCTCGCCATCTCACATGAAACGAACCAGGAGTTCGTTCGAGAAACTCAACGAGAGAGTTTATCTACTTCATTCGTGCCGACCGATGCTCGCGAGAAAAGTCCCCAATGAGACGTACGACGAAGAGGAGAAAAGGATGTTTGACTATTCATGTTTCAACGGACGCTTGAGAGTCACTGACGGACGCGACAGCAGCGTGTAGACACCGTTACATACACAAGTCGGGAGGTCCGCGAGCAGATGATGAGATAAACAAATTATAAATAAAACATTGAACACCCTCCAGCCCCCATGCGAGCCGAAAGAGCACGTAGGGTAGCTAGGCGCGTCGCTATACATCCGCGCACGTAACTGTACCGTCCTCTTCGTCCTCGCCGTCGTCGCATCGCACTCGTTGTCGTTGTGCCAGGACCGTAACGACTGCTTTGAATTTCATGAGGGTGCGAATGAATTCATGGTAGGATGGCGGCGGATGGCGGTTGGCTCCGGAGACTCGCCGACTTCAAACGCCTCCCGGTGACCTCCCGAGTGCGAGAACCACGCGCTTCACAAAAGTAGAGGAAGCAATTCTCGTAATACTAACTGCCGCTCGTTCTATGCCGCGTATAATTCCTTAGGCCGATGACTTCTGGTCTCGCGAAGTCACGAGCGATTTTTCAGAGTCTCCATAAACGTCACTGCATCCTTGGGTCGTTCCGATATACATGGTAACGTAAAAAACGGAAAAGGTAATAGCGAAATATATTTTCGACGAATATCTTCGTAAAATAACTACTTCATTAAATAACATTATGAATCAATATCTGTTTTCAAGATTCCAGTCGTGAAACTGTAGACAGAAATTGCGTAATGTATTTATGGAGACACTTAAGAGGACGGCACGAAACTGCAGCCCATTATGAGGTAAAGCCTTTATGAATTATGTAATCCATTAAATTGCGAAATATCGGACTGATAAAGCAGGTGCGGTCACGGGTATTTCCGAAAATTATGCCCCAATTCCTCCACGAGGCGAATCCGATTATACCGGGTGAGCCCTTCGCGCCCAGCGTAATGAAATCGCCGTTGCCTCGTTAGATAATAACACCGGTCGCTTTGACGCTGAAATTTATAATTCCTCGCGCCTTTAATGTGGCATTAACGTAGACTAAAATTACGCGAGGCTCAGATATAGCGAAGTAACAAACAAATAATTACATTAAAACTGCTCGATATTTAACATTTCTCCTCTAATTAAAACATAAGGATGTGCGAACCGTTTAACGTCTAAAAAAATCGTTTCTGAATATCCGCCATTAAAAGTAAAAGTAAAAATTCTCGACCCATTCTGAACTTTAATTTACCGCGTCTTCAGATTCATATAATAATTCATGTTTTACATAATGAAGATTTAAATGTAATTTCTTATGTAATTGCATATTTTTTTGGAAAGCAGATTGGGAAATAAGATCAAAATAGAAATTTGTCTTATTGAAAAAACATTCTAAAAATGCATATTTGTTTATGTATATTATCTACATTTTGTTTATATATTCACGTTTGATTTGTACAAAAAATCCGATAGACTCATAACAGCCTTTTAACAAATGATCTACGAATCATCGAACCGAATATTTTCGATACTAACTTCGACATTAGTTATTTAACGTTCTATCGTTCGGGTAATAGCCAAGATAAGATTCTCAACTATCCGCGGATCTTCGTTGTTACTAAGTTGGCAGACAAACGAGCGGAATCGTTAATATTTGACCTCGCAGATTATCCGACAAATCCAGGGTTATAGTTCGCTGTGTCGATGAAGTGAGAAACGAAAGGGAATCAATCGCATCTCGCGTCCTAAGCCACATAGGCTTAGGACGCGTGGCTCAACATACTGCCGTGGATAAAATATTTTGCCGACTGCCTCGTTATTTATCCTGCCGGAGAAAGTAGTTGGTGTCGTCGGTAGTCGTCGTAATAAATGTCCCACTCCCGAGAGCGGACTTGACACGTGCGGGGAGAAAAGGGCATTACACAAGTTGGCCCGTCGTCGGAGCGGGCCGGTTTTGTCCTACTTTTTGCGCGGCATGCAGCCGCAATCGTGTCGGGGACAATGTACAAAGCATCTAGCACCAGAAAATAAGAGAGAGAGAGAGAGAGAAGTCGATTCTCTCGCTTCCCGAGATCTGGTCAAAGTGCACTTCTACAAAGCAACGAATAAGATCGACGAGCGATTCTATTTTCGCGCAGAAAAACCGTAAAAATTAAAGATATAAAGCTAGAAAGAGATATAAAAACAATTTCAGATTATACCAATATATACCTGTCACGCAAGTATATTAAATTCCTAATTGAAAACGGTGCTCTTCCACTAACTTTAATTAACATCTTCGAATATTCTTGATAAAATATACAATGTTCTGACCGGAAGAATCTATTTCAAGAAATAATTTTTGGGAAATCAATACCGTGATGTCACCTCGATCTCGAGATAATAAGGTACAAGAAAGTGGAGCGAAATGGGACACGGCACGTGGTACACCGCAAAGATCAATTAGCGCAATTAATTCAACGGTCACCTACTCGTCTGCGGAAGCGTGTTATTAAATTCGGAATAGTCACAATT